ATTTTCTTTAGAAAAATTTTTCGTCTTCTTTTCATTTTGTGTTTTTTCTCTTCTCCTTTAACCAGTTTTGATACAACATTCAACATTCATCAACATTAAATGAACATGAATATGATATCAGAAGGGATTGGTAATATGCTTTTGGTTAAGTATACATTGTCTTATCATTTTAACAAGATGCTCCAGGCATTGTCAGATGTTGAAGCATTTGGGGAATAAATTTCTATTGTTGAATCATCTGTAAAAAATGCCATTGACATTCAGCTTGACTGGGAGTGAAAGATAAATATGGAAAAAAAGCACTGAATTTGTCATTATTTTAATAACCCATTATAAAGTGTTTACAAAGTCTATCATAATTTGATGTGCATTAATGTTGAAACATTGTAACTCTGTGGTTATACGTAACACTGATAATTATCTCATAATTGGATTCATTTTCTGATGCCATTGGAATGAAAAATTTTCACTCCAAGACTGGGAGTGTTGAAATATTGCCGAACATTTTCCATAAATATTTCCTCAACCAGTTTCGCGTCTTTTCAATTTAAAGATTACAAATATTACTATTACTATTAACATTAATACATCAGTAAAAAAAGGTGTTTTTATCCAAATACTTTCACAGGGAGTGATAATTAAAGATAATAACAGCAATTATAATAATGGATGTGAAAGGAAAAGTTCACGCAAAATTTGCTATTTTTAACCAACAAATGTTGAATGCTGAAAAGACTGAAAATTGGATAAAAATACAATTGCATGTATTGAATAGTTTATCTTTTACCTTTTACTAATAGATGCTGATACAGATGATCTCAAGAAGCAAAGGAATACAAAAGGGTTGTAATTTAATCAATATTCAGGTTTACAACTAGGTTTTATATCATATCATAATATGCATTTATATTCAATAATGGCAAGAGAAAGTGAAATAAAATTATCTGTAAACTATAGATATAAACAGGGAGAAAAGAAGATAAAATATTCTGTAAACTGAATAAAATGTCCCAAAAAATATTCAGATGAAATTGAGTCACAATTCAGTTTATAAATATATAATATCATATAAGTAGTACATGTTTGCTCTCCTTTGCTCTTCTTCACCGCATTCATCTTTTTTGGTTCAACTTTTCATTCTCGTTTGTCTCTTCTTTTTTTCACTTTTTAAATCCTTCAATATATTTCATTTAATTCACTCCCAGTCTCAGCATTCCCAGTCTACTGGGAGTTGAAGAAGAAATAAAATAATAAAATACACAAATGTGATGGAAAAGGTAAGAATGAAAAGGGGAGGGAAAAGATTCTTTTTTTTCTCTCAAAAAAAAGTTCCACTCTTTATTCACAGGCAAATGCTTTTCACCTTGTTTATCAACATGCAGTTTCAGTTATCATTTCAACATTTCCCGAGCATTATGCATGATCATCTGAAGGCAGAGACGAAAAAAAATCTGAAAAAGATTTCCCTTTCATTCCACAGCTCAAAATTTTGTTCCACTTCTTTCCATGATAATCTTTTCCAAATTCCAAGTTTTACTTGTCATGATAAATGGTGCCAATTACTGTTGGTGAAAATGAATAAATCCTGAATCGTTGATCTTGCCTATTCTCCTTGGATAATGATTTAATCTGGAAAATGGTTTGATTGCATGGAAGTTGTAAATAATCTTGGGAAATAATTCTCCATGAAATGGAAGAAGAAAAGAGGGTGAAAAAAGTTGGCTGAGATGAAAATTCATTACTTTTCCATGAAACTAAACACAAAAATGATGATCATCATGATGCATAAGTCAAACCATTTTTTGATTTACTTTTCCATCTTTTCCTCCCCACTTCGATTTCGTGCATTTAAGAGCTTTACTCATCTTCATCTTTATCGTTTTAGAGGTTGTTCCCATTTCTGTGCCCTGAGTTGCTATTATTAAGTAGATTCTAGCTATCTCTAGGAAAATTCAGTCAACCAGCAATTGGAAGAGAAGAGCTGAGAACGAAAGAAAAGGGAGAAAAACTTGTGTTGCTCTTTCGTCGATTACAAGTGTTACCATTACCATGATTCTGTTAATACATTTTCAACTGAACTCAGCATTTTTCACAAATAATATCATCAATTGTACTTTTACCTTTTCCTCTTTTCCTCCTTCCAACCTGATCATCTTCATCATCATCTTTTCCTTACCTTTCGCCAAGCTTGGTTTAAATTTTTGCCAGTTTCCCAGTCTATTCATTATTTTCATCATTATCATTGAGTTATAATAAATAAGATGGAGAAATGGTTCAAGAAGAAGAAGAAGAGTGAAAATAAAATTCTCATGAGACTTTTATATATTAATAAATATCATAATATATTGTGTACAATATCATGTGCATTATGTTGAAAGATACAAAAGGAGTGAAGAAAATTTCGTTTCAAATTTATCGCTTCATTTCGCATCTAACCAGGGTTGTAATGCAACATTTCCGGTGATGGACAATTGCAATGAGTTTTGTCAACAGAGAAAAGAAAGTTATCTGTTTACAAAAAAAATGAAATGTTTTATTCTTTTTGCGCATTCAGATGGATTCTTTTCTTTTCTTTGGAAAAGTTCAATTTTGAAAATTCTCTATTCATGGAAAAACCACATTTTGAAGCAGTTTTTCCAGTTCGAGTATCATTTGGATACTCATCATTTACCGAAAAGCTTACCTATTCAAGAATCAGTTTATTTTCACTTTTTGATGGAGAAAAGGAAAAAGGTGGAAAACTGTTTAAAGGGAATGAAAAGGAATGAATGAAAAAGAATTTTTTCCTTCTTCTTTTTCTTCATTGAAATGATTTCAAGTATTTTTGATGAATGAAAAGTTGCATGAAGAATAGGAAATGAAAGTGCTTTAAGATGGTTTAAGATGAGGGATGAAAAGGGCAAAACAAATAAAAAAGAAGAGAAAAGAAAGTGAGGAAAAATTGATGGGAAAAATGAGTGAAATGATGAAAACTGTTAAATGGTTTTATAGCATTTCTCTTTTTTTGGTTCACCAAATTAGGAAAGGAATGAACAGGCAAACTAAATTGTCAACTAAATCAACTCAATTTCACCTTTTGAATAGTGATAAATCGATAAAAAAGTATTGATGAAAAAGGCTATCGAATGTTGGCTTGGAATAATAAAGTTGAGTTATTGTTTGCCACAAACATGATTAGTTTATCAGTATAATCTTCAAGTTGGCCAAGCGTAACAAAACCAAGACTGAATTTGACTCGACTAATTGAACACTCATCTAAAACTTGTTCTAATATCGAATTTTTTTCGCTTTAAAAGTCATCTTATTTCTGAAAACGATTAGTAAATAAATGCCCTTTTTGGGACAAAGAAACGCTTTAAAGTGGTGATGTCACGATCCAATTTCAAGATCGATCTCTTTATTTGATTTCAAGCTAGAAGACAATTTCGTAATCCTGTTACTTTTTTTCGTTGAAAATGTCAAGCTAATTTTTTATGATATAATTGTGTTTTTAAAAATCGGTAATTAATCGATTTCTGAGAAAAATAGAAAGTAGAAATCGAAATCTCACATTTCTACTCAAAAACTCATTTTTCTTTCACCTTAACCAAAGCTAATTGTGCCTTCTCTCAATGTTACGAATATTTTTTGAGTATTGATTGATTTTTTGTCTTAAATTATTGACGCTTTTCTGCAAATTGAGACACAAAGTTATAAAAGAGTTTACAGAAATTGAAGTTTCTGAGACTCGATTCTTCATTTGCTCAGTTTTTTGCCTCAAAAGATTGAATTAATACATTGAACATGTTTTAATTTGTTCATGGAAGATTGTTCAACATAGTGAACAAACCTTTCAGTCAGAGGCTGAGCTTTAATAGATCGCAGTATGATAACTACATTACTAAGTACAATACCTTGACAGGCTCTTGGGTCGTCTATGGATTATCTTATGCTCAAGCAACCATCATAAGTTGGTTTTGAATGCATGGTCGGAATACACCAAAGCAAAGATCTAACAATCCTTAGATTGCTATTTTATTATTTCAAAAGTTGAACATGACAGAGTAGATTTGTATATTTGATGGTGAATTACAATAAAATTATTTTTCTTAGTGTCTGTTGAGCAATCATGATACAAGTTTCATGAGATGATGAGAGGAGGAAGGAACAGTGCAAAGAGTAAATAGTCAAGGGAATGAAATTTAGTGTTGTAAAGGTGAATATTGTTCAAGTGTTGATGGATGATGATGACTACTCAAGGTTAGTTGCAAGTTGCAAAGGTGGAGATTATGAGTGAAAATGTGAAATGATGAAAAATGATAAATTAATGGTGTGGCCTTTTACCATAATCATAGTATCATCAACACATTGTATTACCTGGAATCAACCATTTTCCTCTTCTTCTCTCTATTCACTTTCTTGATGCTGGTTACTCCAAAAAAGAGAGGTTGCTGGTTAGTGAACCTTTATCCTAGTAAAGCATACTTTTCAGGTTAGGTTAACATTAGGTGTAACCCAAAATCTCATGAGAACAAGTTTTAACCTATTGTTGTACAATAAATGAATTTGCTTGATACACTTATTATTATAAAATTCATTGTGAAACATTTTCCTTTTTTTCTCTTCTCTCAACATTCTCATCTTGAAATACATCTATTAACAATGTTGTTATACATAGCAACTTGGGAGTTGAAAATATTCAATCTGTTTCATTGTGTTATATCATCATGTTTTGAAACATTTCCCTTTGATAATCATCTCAGGTTGATTAATTCATGAGAATTCATTTTGCTTTTCAGTTCAAATTCAATGTTGATCAATTGATTTTCAAACTTTTATCGCAAACCTTTTGGCAAAATAACTTCAATTTAGTTGACGCATAATAAGAAAAATGTGCGCATACGCAAAAAATCTCTTCGATTTTCGTAATGTTCATTCATCAATTAATATGTTGGTGAATCCTCAGCATGTTTCCGTTTTGCAACCTCAGCTGAATCATTTTCTTTTCCATTTTATTCAAGGAATTCGAAAACTTGGAATTTGCCCACTTTTCTGGACTTGCGGTTCTTCATGGTTAATATATTTCACCAGCTTTTCCATGGTTTGCAAGGTTGAAAGGTGAAATGTAAATGCTGGATTTCACAAGGAGAAGCAAAGGAATAACGAGCGAAACGAAAAAAAAGTTTCCATTTTTATCCTGACAACTTGACATGTTTCAAAATCATCATCACCAAAGGCTAACCTTTTTCATCTCTTTGTATTCCAATGCATCAACAGTGAGTTTCATCAAATAGATTTACTCTTATTTTCCTTCTCAGTTTGCCATTTTTGGACGAAAAAAAGTGAAGATAAATTTTTTTCTTGCTCAACTTCATCTTTAAATGCACCTCAACTCGACATTTGATGAAATTTTGATAAAAAAACTCAAATTCTCAAGAGTCAAATGAGTTTAAAATGAAAATTTACATTGTTTTTGTTCCATTAAGTAATCATTTTGAAGAGTTGGAAAAGATTTACTTTTCAAATTTTTTCAAAAGCGAAATGAAAGAGTAAGAACAGGTGAAAGGTAAAACTGATATTGTTGCCAAGGTTGAAGGAAAGGTTGAACTGGACTTGATTTGCCTATTTTGCTTTGTAACCTTAATCCTCTTGAATAGCAATTTAGTTGATGATAATGATGATAATAGCATTAATGCGTAAAACAGAAAAGGTAAGAAAATGCTTTTTCAATGAAAAGTTGAGGGTGAAAATGAAGAGTAGAACAAGCAATATCAGGTAAGAATATCGATTTTTACTTTTTTTTGCCTCTCTTTTCTCTTCTCTTCATATTGCATGGTATTGGATGATGGTGAGATGATGAGGGGAGAAAAAATCGATTTGTGACATTTTCTCTCTTGTTTACTCTCTCTTTCCAACTTTCATGTTCATCTCTTCTCATGATGAATAGATTGGCAACACAATCGAAGGATTAACAAAGCATCAGTCAAGGGCGGAAGGACAATTGAAAAATGATGACAATGATGATGATGATGAGGGTAACTTTGGTGATTATGTTGGCGATGAGATGAAGTAAAGGTTGAAAGGAAATGTTGAAAATTGGAAATGAAAAAAAAGAAGAAGAAAATTGAATAACGAAAAGGGAAAAAAGAGGAAAATTGAGTGACAAAAAATTCTTGAGTGACCCTTACAACGATGATGAAGATAACATTTTTTTTCATAAATATATTTTTCTCAAGTTTACCAGTCGAGAAATTGTAGTGTAAAACTATCATCTATCAAACAATTTGAATGACCCATGATAGTTGTGACTGCAAGTGGAAAGGATTTTCACTTGATATTGCCAGAGAGAAGATAAAAAATGTAGAAAAGAGCAAAAATTGGAAAAGTAATAATGTTACCTTTCTTGTCTTCATCATCATCTTTTCATCATTTTTTGCTTCTTATCGATTGCAAGGTGCTCCAGCATTTTGTTTCATCTTGAATTTTGCGATTTTTTTCTCCACTTCTTTTCATGACAGAAGTTGAGGAGCAAAAAAAGTCGATGATGATGATTGTTCTAGAATAGATATTCTTGGAGTAATTCAAGTAGTAATCAAAGTTTCATCTTGTTTTTTTTCTGCTGGACCCAACTTTTGCTTCTCTTTACTACTTTGACCCCTTTTTTGGCTCTCTTGGTAAAGGTTAACTGAACAATGAACTGGTTAATCCATTTGATTTTCATCTCGTGATACAAATATCCTTGACAGTTGTTAATCGACTTTTAATAACCTCTTAATCTACTTTGAGATTAGTTCGAGAAAACTCGATAAAGTTGATACATTTTGTTTGGAAAGAGATTAATGGTTTCAAAGCCAAAACGGCACTTGAGGACACATGACGCTATTTAAGCTACAGTAAAGTCTAGTAGTCAGAGTTGATAAAACTGACAAGACAAAACCTAAAAATCAATCCAATTCTGACTCTTTTACTCGAGAAGACTGTTGAAGAAGAAGATGAAGTGGGACAATTGTAAGACTGTCGATCCGTGAAGAAGGTTCCGTTCTAAACTAATAAAGAAACTCGGACCATCGAGTAGCTAGTTTCCTCCGAATTTTCCCTCAGAATAGCTGGCACCAATGGAAGTATCAGTAGAGCGAATGATTGGAAGTCTTGAAGTCGAAATGGTCTCAACCTATTCTCAAACTCCTAATGATGCGAAGTTCAACTTGTTAAACTTTTAAAGCTGAACATACTTTTGAATGACGTTATCCAGTAGCATTAAGCAGAACTGGTGAACCAAATGTTTGTTATTGTCAGAAAGAGCCCTTTGTTGGATCGATTGTTTTAGAAAAATGAAAATTTTCTGTTTTACGGTTTGGCCCACACCTCGCTTCATGATAAAACTTTACCAATAGAACCCTCGAGGGCTGAATATGCCAAAAGTTTTTCCAGCTTTGGCAAATGAAGTTTAAAATTTTAATCATCAAAGTAACCGCATCTATCAAGGTTTTCATTCAATTTATTTTTGCTTGTTGAATAACCCAATGACGAAGCCAGTCAACTGAGCAAGCAAAGTCAACCAGACAAACTTTTCAACTTTAGTCACAAAAGTCGACGCCACAAATGTAAACTTTTAGTCTGAAACTTTTGTTACCAGCATAATACAGTTACACTTGAAGAGCCTTGAACCAGTTCATCATTTCGATTTTCATTAGCAATGGGCAAACATTTTTCTCTGCTCATTGTTTTATTGAATAAGCTTCGTCATAAGATATCCAATGGAGAACAAAAAACAAAATCAAATTGATTCGATTCCCAGTTGAGAATGAAAAGAACATCACTTTTATCGTATCATGGAATGAAAAGGCAGCAATTTTGTTGTCAATATGAGACCCAAAAAAGCCAAACAAATGGTTGAATCAATTATATGAAAAAAATGGTGAATCAATCAAGAGGTAAAATGAAAGACAAAACAGAATGAAAAGAAGGAGAAAAATGAATTTTTCCAAGATGGACATTGAACCTTTTTCGCCCATGATCAACATGCAAAAATGATTGAACTTAAATTGGTATTGCACCAAGAGAAAAAAGTATAAAGGCAAAGATGAAGAAGAAGAAAAGTTCCAACTGTTATCATATTTCTTTCGTCAGTAAACAATACAAAGTAAACAAGAGATGAAAAATATTTGACAATTTGTTGAGAAGAAGAAGTAAAAGTGAAACGAAAATGAATTTGAAATTGTTATCTCCTTATTATCATCATTTCTGAATCTATTTTGACCATTGAATAAACTCAGCATAAGCTTAACTCACGACGAACAAATGAAAAAGAAAATAAATTGAAAATAAAATATTTCACTTTTTCTTCTTTTCCATTATTCTTTGCCATCATTGAATGCTATAGATTTTTGTGTCTCTTTACATTCTCATATAATATATAAATATACATATCAATTCCTTTTGCATCATCATTCTGCCATCTTCATCTCTTCAAGTTGAGCATGAGAAGCAAGAGAAGAAGAGAAAAAATGAAAATTGGAAAGAAAAGAAATCTTTCCAATTTCCAGAATTTTTATTATTGTAAATCTTTGTGTGTCTAACATTCTTGGTAGTTTCTGGTAAAGAAGAAAATGTTTTTTTTCTCTTTCATCATTTTCATCTTTTTTTGCTTTTCGTTGCTGCTCACTGCTTCATCTTCATCCCTTGTATAATCAGCTATGTAAGTAAATTTCATTGCTCAACATCAGATGAGGAAAAAAAAGAGTTTCATCTTCATCTTGAACCAATTTTCTCTTTATACACTTTCTTTCATCCTTTATTCTGTATCAACAGTAAAATCAGAAGAAGAGTTGAAATTCAGTTTTTTTCTCCTCTTTCATGGTAAAATGCTAAATAGTATCTGTAAATGTTGATACAATGTTTTGCTTTTCATTTTGCAAAGGCAAGGCAACTGAAAGAAGGATGATGCTGATGATGAAGGGAACAAAAAATTCAATTCTTGGTTTCAACTTTTTTTTTCTTCTTCTTCTCTTGCACTTTACAACCAAAAATAACCAACTTTTAGTTTACACTTAATCATAAAGAAACTGGTTATTCTCAAATCAATTTTTCTCATCGCATTCAATTGCTTTCCAGTTTCTAGTTTTTCATGGTTATGAAAATGCTTTTCCAACTTGAACATTATTCAGTTTAATTTAAATCTTTATTGACAAATGCTGATTTCACTTGAAGATAGACTGGTAGGGAAGAAAAAAATTGTGGCGAAAATTTTGCTCATCAAACTGCTGATTGCATGGCAAAATGTTCAAAAAGATAAATCATTTGGATTTAGAAACGTAAGTTTAGTCAAATCTTCTAGAGTTGGTTGAGTTGGTCTAGATAAGCTTTAGACACCAATGAGTCTGAATGTTGATGGTAGCTCTTGTCTTTACAGTTATTCAGCAAGATTTCATCTTTTAAGATGTTAACAGTTTCTTGTTACAGTAATAATGCAAAATAAGCCGATGATACAATTGAACCAGTCAACTGGAACGTTAGTCATACAAGTGAACAGTGAGTCTGTCAATTTTGGTTCTAAAAGAAAGTTAAGATGAAATCGAGTTGATCGCCGTTTCATGTTATCTCAGTTTTCATTTGAACCGTTAAATAGCTGTTTGAATATTGCAGTCTTTTTCCGTTTGAATAGAAGCAACATTCAAAGAGTAAATCCAATCACAGAGTTTCCCCAAGAACAAAATCCATGCGACAAGCAAAGGCGAGAGCTGCGAGCTGAGCTTAATCGAGCTATTGAACTTCTGATCTGATTGAGCTTGACCTTTGAAAGATTCGAGTGCTCGAGAGGGATCGACCAGCCTAAAAATTCAGAAAAATAACCAATAAATTGATGGATTTTGATCACTTTGGTCTTCCCTCAATCATTTCAGTTTCAAGGAAACTCAAAACATTAAAGATCGAACAAGCATCAAACTCCAAATAGATCTTCTAATTACCGTTTGATCTTGCTCTCGGTCTTTAAATTTTTTGGGAATCGGAAGATTGAGCTGGATGAATCTCTAGACAAGATTGGACTCCACCTCGATAACATTTCCAATGTAGTGATCTAACATGAGTAAAACATGTGATGACTCTGGCAGAAAATATAATACAATGAACTAAATCGATATTCAATCATCAGTCAAAATGTTTCAATTTTCTTCGCTTTCTTTTCACTTTCGTATTCCATTCGACAAATTTTTCTTATTTTGAGCAAAAACATATTGAAAAATATTGCCATCTTTAGTTTGGAGTTTGATTCAATATTTTGTCGCAAAAACCCAAATGATTTAAATTGAAGTTGGAGTCAAATTTTCCAAAAGATTGAACGGAAAAACTCAGCTCAACGGTTTGATTAGTTTTACGAGTCTGATCAAGTTACCCTTACGCGATCAACTCTCAAATTGTAAAGGGCCAGTATTTTGTTTCCAGTAATAACCATCCAAAATGATTGCATTACGTATGAATGGATATATTTGATAGTGATCATTGATAATCACAAGGGCAACAACTGATCGAGAAAAGGACAAAACACAAACAAAGCCAAAGATTGGAGTGAAAATAAGGTTAAATTGATCAATATACAATTGATTATTTGACTGGTGGTCAATTGATCCTCTCTTTTTTACTGTAAAAACAAAAATATGAATTGAATAATAATATTGATTATTGATTTTCATTATTATCATCATCAAAGTTTACTTAACAAAAATGAATCTACTCGAGTGTTGACTACTCATCATGATGACCATGGCTGGTCAAAGTCAACAAACCATTCTTGACAACATTAGCCATGATACCACCATCAACTCCAATTGGCAAACCCAAATTAACCTTTTTCACTCTTCAAATTAAAAAGATTTTCTTCCATCATTCTCATCATTGCCATCTTGACTTTAACCAGAGCATCAACATTTTCATCACCTTTTATTATTCCAATGATCATTCATATCTGAATCAAGTCTGACAGCAGAAAGAAAGAGAAAGAAAGAAAGAAGAAAAAAAGTCTTGCCAATGTTTGCTCACCTTACGGCAGTTAATCTGATTCTTTGTTGATTTTTGTGATATTATTTATATAATAATAATAATGGAAGCAAACCCAAACAGCTAGAGAAACATTATCACCTTAAGCTTTCATCAATTTTTGTTATTTTTGTCATCTCATTTTCACAATGAAACCTGAACAAGATGAAGTGCAGAGCAGCAAAAAAAGAGAAGAAGGAAGCTTGAAAAACAAAATATCCAAGAAAAGAACCAGAAAAAAAATTCTTTTTCTTCTCATTCAATTTTCTTGGTCTTGTTCAACTTTTCACTAAATATCCTCATCCCTCAAGGTAACTATCTCTTCATCCTTCATCCTCTCTTTATGCATCAACTGATCATCTGTGCTCATCTCAATTGATTAGTTGACACCTTAATTGGATCAACATTTTCCATCCTTTTTTTGTCATTTTTTGTTTTTACTCTCAATGTTGGAGGAAGAAAAAAAAGAGAGACGCAAAGAAGGCAGTCAAATGTAATGAGACAAAGAGTCCTAATAATTGGTTATCTTTGACTTATCCTGTTACACTAATCTGGCTTCAGTTAAACTTGATCTTCCCCTGGTTCACTGTTGACTGGTGAATGTAAAATAATTAGACAATCTAAAGCTGAAAAGAAAAATGGTGAAGATGATCAAGTCTGGAGAAGATAAATGATGATGCTAACTGGTCGTGAAAACATAAAATTGAGTGAAAATTGGCTTCCAAAGAGTATATGATATAAGATCGATTATATGTCAAATAATATTCCAATCATGGCCATCATCATTATCATCATCTTGTTGACCATCATTAATACCTTCAACAATTTAAACGTCACTTTTATTTTTTGCTCTTCTTCTTCTTCTTTTTAGATTATCATCATTCTCTTTCGATTGAAACTGAAAGAGGAAAGAGAGAAGAGAGAAGAAGCTGTAAAAAGAAAGAGCTTGAAAAATTGAAAAGATTATCATCAACATGGAAGGTTGAGTGAAAAAAATCAATTTCATCTTTTATGGTCAGAGTAAATTATTAAAGTTAATGTGTACAATTGAGAGCATCATCATGATAATGATTATCATTGAGTTTTTAAAAGCAAAAGTTGACAATTGGAGAAACAAGAAGATCAAAAGGAAATAACATTTTTGTTCAATTTTTTATTTCTTTTTCACTCTCTTTGTTTTACATCATTTTGCATTGCATTTTTCACTGCTTTTTCACTTTATCTCTCCATCATCATCATCATACCCATCATTTTCATCTTGATCGTCAATCTTATAGACTCTTAACAATGTATATAAAGTCAATTCCCTGTTGATGTATAATCATCACTAGTCATTTATAAGTTTATCCAGTCACGTTTATGCAAGGTAAAGATGAGATGATTTTTTGCTCGATAAACGATTCAGATTCATGTGTATTTCAGAATTGAATCATCTTGAAGATAAAAAATAAAAGGTCAAACATCAAATGCTGACAAACTTTATGGCGAGTTAAAATACAGTAAAGGTCAGGGTTGAGTTAACAAAAGCGCACATTTTTTCATACTCGTCAGTACATTAAATGAAATCTTTTACGATATTTTTCGATACAATTATTGACGATATAATCGATATTTCATTCAAATATTGTTCTCTTCGATCCTCATCAGAAATGAATATCGAGAAACACTTGGAAGTACCAATAAGATTCAACTTTATTTTGTCCAGTTTTCTGTTGTATTGTTTTTCCGCTGAGCTCTACAAGAATACATATGTGCTGTGATCGAAGTGGTGGCACCTGAAAATTAACTTGATTCTGGCCCTTTCATTGTTAACCCTGACTACTGCTGCAACAGATAAAATCATTTCAATTGAATTTCAATTTTTTGTGAACTTGTATCGCCATCTACGGTCCACAAGTTTAACTATCTTTTGATGCAATTAAACAACTTTGATAGTAGTGTTGTTTACACAGTGTTGTAGGATCACACTCTGAACCCTTTTAGCCTAGCAAAAAGTGACCACAGTCATTCCTCTCATGGGATAATTGCTTCCGTGAACCAACCAGCCTTGTCAGCTTTTAAGGCGCCATCAAGCACTGGGAATCCAAGAAGCTTAACCCTTTGAGTGAATCTGTAGTTTGCCCAACTTCAGGACTTGGCGAGATTCGAACGTTAACCTTCAAGTTGGAGGTTAACCATCTTATCGCGTGTGCTAACCAATAGGCCAACTCACAAGTTATAAGTCTCACTGGTTACAAAAAAGACTCATGAGCGGATTATAAGCTTAAAATTTGTTGGGCAAAAGTGGTGAAAATGAGTATTTAATCATTTTCTCGATGTCATTTTTCATCAGAAACAACTATAAATCTGCAAATATTGCTGATGGGACTTAATTTAAAATGATTTTCGATTGAAAAGGCCAAGCATTTTTGAACTCATTCATACAAAGACTTTTGGAAACGCGAACTTTTTTCAGCTTGAAATGAATTGAAAACCAATGAATAACAGACCTTTTCTTATCGATACCATCGATAGATATGACACCACTAAATTTAGTTTATTTTCATTATTATTTTGACAAGAAATTGATGCGTCCAGAAAAATGGCCTCAACTCGCAATAAACGCAACTCTATTGGCTAGAGATTATGTGATTCTATTGAACACATAATTTGACAAAATTTATCAAAACTTTGCAAGCTTATTGACTTGGAGTTTGATTTGCTTCATCAGGTTATTTTGCATGATAAACAAAAATAAGCAATTGTCTGCTTTCTTGAATATATTTAGGTTTTGCTTGGCAAAGACTAACAAGATTGCAAGATGTGATTTGATGGCAATAAATATTTAATGATAAAAAGTTTTTGTCCCACAAAATTGGATTCATTATTGGATCAGGATAAATTCAGATAAATGCATTAGCTTTGATACAGATTTGATGAAACCGGGAATAAGAAGAGGAAGAAGAAGAAGCAAAAATAAGTAAAAATAAGGCAAAGAAAGAGGTTAAGGATAAATCAATTTCAAGTGGGAGTTGCTTCATCATCTAGTTATTTGTTTTTCATTTTGCTTTCTGTTTCCATCATTCATTTGAAACACTTTTTCATTTCATATTTTTCTCTCCTTTTCACTCACTTTTTCCCTAAGTTGACGTGTTACTGTGTTTCCAGTCAACAATTGATTCAATAATTTATTTTCACTTCTTTCATG